AAGGGAGGAAACCCCATTCCCGTTGCCAACCACCGAGTGGGGGGTTTTTTTTAAAACGTCGTTCCCAGGGGAGAAAAACCCAACCCCGGAGGGCAACCCCGGGGGGGGGCGGCTTTTTTTAAAACGTGGTTCCCAAGGGACAAAAACCCAACCCCGAGGGCAACCCCGGGGGGGGGGGGGGGCGAAAAGGGTGAGAGCAGATCTGATGCATTGGCCCCCGCACCGAAGACTTGGTACGCTCCGGTGCTATGTACCCGTGTCGAGTGCTTGAGCGTGTGTGACTCGGTACAAGCTAAGAGGATCCGCGCCGCCATGTTCACCCTCACACACCCAACCCTCCCCTGCACGAAAGAGGACTTCTCTAAGACGAGACAATTTCTTGCCCAGCGTCCTACAAGAAAAGTGTCGAGTTGATATGTACTTCATGTGCATTGGTAGTTGCAGTAAGTGTCGCTGCTGCTGCTGCTGCTGCTGCTGCTGCTGCTGCTGCTGCTGATGATGATGATGATGATGATCCATTACCGCCGTAAAAGGTACCAGGTACTCAGTATGTTTCCGCCGTAGTTGTTATTACCTCGGTCCCGGGCAGTCGTTCTCGTAGATGGGGCGCTGGCCGTCCCCCGCCTTGCTCACCGTCCCCGCCGGCATCTGCCTCTGACCATCCTGCCGATATCTGTGACGCGTCACGAACAAAAGTGTGTGGCGTCGTTGGGACAAGAGGTGGGTAAAGTCGGGTCGCAAACCAAAAGAGTACAGATGCAGTGGCGGAGAAAATATGAATCTATCTTGGTTACAATTGCAAGGGGAACTCTCCTGGTGGCCAAGATATCGTCCTTCGCCAAAACGCCTGCACGTGAATGCAAAGGCCAATGGGGCACTCAGAAAAACAAGAGACCTTCAAGCGTTGCACCAGAATCAGTGTGTTGTGCTCCCTCTAGTACTGCTTCCGCTGGCCGAAACGCTCTGCACTGTGTAAAATAAACACATCTAGTCCAGGCTAAAGAATCCGTGCCGGGAAATGACCGATATCCTCTCTGCGAAACATTGGGTTACGCACACATGCTGTAGATTAGGAGCAAAGAATCAAGATAGGCAGAGACGGCGGGATGGTATCAACGTGGAAACAAGAGGTGGTGGGGTAGTCTCCCAGAAAGAGGTAGGCGTCTAACTCGCCGGCATTGAACGAGGCAGTTTCGGGGGCATTTCGACGGCGAACAGAGCCAGACCTACCCACCAAGCGAGTTGTTTAGGGCAGTAGATTGAGGAGATGAGACTACGCTATCCCACACGAGGGGGGGAACGAACGGCACCTGAGTCGGTAGTGCGACGTGTTGACCATCCACACCGGGCAGTACACGGTCACGTTTCGTTGCCCACCGTCGCCGAGGCGGTTTTCAAGATAGACTTCCACCCTCTGCCCCACGCTGTCGGTGAGGGCGACGCTGGAGCCAAGCTCCGCTGCGGGCCGCCCTCCTCCTCCGTCTCCTCCTCCTCCACCCCCACTCCCACCTTCCCTGTCCCTGTGTTGTGCGTTGTGTGCACACACTTAATTGCGTGACTCGTTGATTATATTCCAAGTACGTCTCGGAAGATCGCGATCCAGTTCCGATCAAAATGGGTCGGTCTACCCCGTGGGAAACATAACGTGACGCGTAAAGGAGATACACATCCCTTTCATGTCGAGACCGGAAAATGGCAGCTGTTGTCTTACGGTGCTCTCGCTGGCATGTGTGGTGGAGCATTCTGTTACTATCTCACCCAATACAGGAAACATAGGGTTTCGCATGGATTCGGAAACCTTAAGACAGTGCTTCACTATTCAACACCGCCACGGTATGGATATTTCGACTGTTCTCACGATGATCATGAACGGGAATACCCCGCCTCTGCTACCGCTGGACCGGAAAATTAAAAGACATGTCATCTACGTCCGCTGCGATCTCGACTTTTACCGAATTACTACTTTGCACAATACGCAGACGCGTCCAAGTGCCGGTACAATTCCAGACTTGTTTTGTGATCATGATCGTAAGACATTGACATTTGCGCACGTGCCGGCACCACCCTTTACCGATCCTAAAAAGAACAACCAAAAAACTACACAAAAAAAAACACCCAACTTCCTCCCGAGGGGAACTACGGCCAGAGCAAGGGCTCATCTGGTAAGCTTACCCCGATGACCGCATCTTCTCTCCTCCGCCAGGACCGCCCGCGCTCCCTGCCGCCGATATCCAATCCCCGATGTTGCCGCTGCCGCTGCCGCTGCCGCTCTTCGGTCGGGTGTGCCCGTTCGTGGAGAAGCGCGTGTTGATGCTGTTGAGACCGTCGCCGCCGGCGAGGTTGAAGCCTCCCAGGCTGCCTCGAGCACCCCGGCGCCCGTCGTGAATCAACACCGCTTCGTGGGTCCTATGGTCGTTGTTGTTGTGATTGTCGTTGTTGTTGTTGTTGTTGTTGTTGTTGGTGGTGGTGGTGGTGGTGGTGGTGGTTGACAGGAGCAACGGGGCAGAAGGAGAAAAGTTGTCAGCCTACGCCACACTCCGTTAGAAGGCAACTGAAAACCTTGCTACCGAAACAAAACGCACTTCCAACGACAAACGAACCGTTACAACTGGCTGTAAACAAACGTGGGAATGGGCTGCATGGAAGAGTGAAACAATGAACAGCAACGGCAGCTCCGAACGCGTTCAAAGAAACCTTTTACCAGCGAAAAATGGAGGGAGAGAACGACGAAGCCACCATCGTGGTGAATTGTACCCGGGCACAACAGCTCAACAGCCAGTCACACACGCCCTCTTCGGTACTTCTTGCGTGTCGTAGGCAAAGCACGAACGCTTTTCATGGATGAGGGACAGGCAACACCTGAATTGACCACACCTGCAGAATCCGAGGTTGATGAACATTTTGAGAGGAGTGTCGAGCCCCGCGGTGTACACGCCGATACTTGCACCCGAATCCAATTGGGCTCGCCACAAGACGGTCTTGCTCTGGAAAACGATGTAGGAGAGCGCGGGATGTCAACAGTCCATCAAAATCCAATGGCCTGTGGCCTGGAAAACTAGACCACGGGTACTAGAGGCACGGCTCCAAGTGACACGGACAAGTCCACGGCACCAACGTACTTCGTCAAGCGCGGAGCATAAACCAAGAATCGAGACATTTGGGTCGAATCACAAATCGATACAGCAAGGTTTGGGAACGGTGTGGGCGAAAGCAAATGCTAATCCCGGGGTGTGTGTACCTGGTCTACAAGCTCGAACGACCCCGCATAGGGCAGAAGGTTCTCCACCACTAGAGGCGGGTGCAGCATCATGGTGTACTCTATCGGCGGGGCCGTCGCGGGAGCACGTCCGGCGGCGGCACCACCGCCTACAGAGAGGTTTGCCAGCGAGGCGCGGTACGGAAACAGGCGGCGAGAGAGAGAGAGAGAGAGACAGACAGTTATAGACAGACAGACAGACAGACAGACAGACAGAGAGGGGGAGGGGGGGGAGGAGGGAGGGAGAGAGACGTTGGCGGGTGACAACATGCATATGAGACGAGAGAGAAGTCCAAGCGCGCAGCGCACATCGAGTGGTTAAAAGGGACGTCACGCGTTGACAAGACACAAAAGTGCGCAAGTAGCCAGGGAGCTGGCACTCCACTTTTCTACGAGAAACAAGAATTGATCACGAGTCAAACGTGGAACTGCTGAACATGCCACGCTAATCAAGAGTCATCCGCAGATACCGAGAGTGCGAAAAACGCGGAGCCAAAATAAACGAAAGGCGAGCAGTGACCCCTAACAAATAAGACGAATCGGAACAAGTCACAAATAAGAGCTTGACTGCTGCAAAACTGTTTACGCACGGCACGGCACGGCACGGCACTGGCGTATGTAACGACCAAGACACAAACACGTGCACACACACCACATTTTGATTGGAAAGCAAAAAATATCGCACAGGCAGCGCTCACCAAAGGTACTATTTACGCGTCACACACACACACACACACACACCTGCTGCTGGAGAAGGAGCCCCTGTAACGCCGCCACCGCCGCTCTTGAAGATATTCCCGTGTCTCTTGCTTGCCCCTCCTCCTCCATCTCTCGTCGAGTTGGGCGGGCAAGCGTCATTGCCGCCACCGCGAAAGGATTCCGTGAGATTTCTGTGCAGAGGCACCGAGAGAAGGCGGTGAACGGGAAAACGAGGCGAGGGGAAAAGGAGAGAGGGAAAGAGGGAGAGGGAGGGGGGGGGCGGGAAGGAAGGTAGAGTGAAATAAAATATGTCGTGGGGGTTGGTATCGCATTGTCGGGATTCAGGAGGGTGTATCTCACACTTACGCTCACGAATTGACACCGCACAAGCATCGACCGCGCTTAGCGGACTGCAATGGGATACCAAGCGCGTAGGAAAAAATCGCTCGAAAATGCTGCCTGCAGGTGGACCCATGCATGTCCCTCTCGGACGTACGACGACAAACACGCACAGCAGTTACGCGAAGGTTCGCATCCACCACGTCAACTATCTCTAAATTTTCGCCATTGAGAGAATGTGCAAGCAACATCGGTCACCTAGCACACCACAGTCTGGACAAGCGAAAAACATTGTGAGGGGACTACCCGAAGATCAACGTTCTGACAAGCGGCGAGCCGTGCGCCGCAAACCTCACGCACTCGAAAAAATAACACGAAACCGCGGTATGAGGGGGGCAAAAAACAAAGCGCTGCAACCCAAGCAACAACAACTAAAAAATCGGAAGAAGCAACGCCCTTACTTGAACACCCCGGTTCCGCTGCTCATCGGGCTATGCGACCCACTTCCCAGTCCGAGGGCTGTCGCCATAGCCGCGTCCGCAGGGGGGTCTTCGACCCCGGCGTCCTCCTTCAGAACCTTGCGCCGGACCTTGTGGTGGCGTCACCGGGAGGACACGAATAAATACCCACAACAGGACGGGTCGGGGAGGGCACGAGCAAATACCAACGGCAGGACGGGGGTTCGGTTGTTGGGAAATGCCGCGGCGGTATGCGAGCACGGCTGCCACGAGACGTGAGGAAGGTCGGTAAAGGCGGGGCGGAAAACGGCGCACCTCATCCGTTTTAAGATCCCGCAGTCAAGGATGAGATACATCGTGACGTTCGGACAACAAAATAAACACTACTGGAATATTTTGAAGTTATTAATAATGGTGTCCACCTGACGTCTCGAAGGGAGAAAGTTCGCGCCAGCATTTGGCGAGGAAAAAACTAAGGGTACGCACCAAAACACATCTCTATCCAGACTCGGGCACAAACGGAAGAGGAGGCGCTCTGAACCTACCAAACACAGAGCAGTCATACGGAAACAAGCAACAACACGAAGCATAAACCATTCAACACCACCTTTCAAGAACTATGAAGAGACACGTCCTGAGACACACCTCACCTCGACGCAGTAGACAAACGGCGGCAGAAGCTTGCCGTCCTTGACCGGAGTCGCCATCGGACACGCCACCTGCTCATCGTCCAAATGTGCGTTGAAGTGAGGCCATAGTCAACACACGGCCGAAACAACCCCCACGCTCGTTGGCACAACAGGCACGTGAAAATACACAGCCAGACCCCAACTCGCCACAGAGCCGAAAAAAAAAAATCGATCTATTGGCGAGTAAGACTGTAAAAGGCAGGATGCGGCATCCACAACGGAAAGCAGAATCCGGCTAGGTGGCAAACAAAACGAACCCGACAAAGATTCCGAGTTTTCATTTACGCCGCGGGAAGGGTATCGGCGGTACGCCCTCTGCGCCAGGGTGAGAGAGCGAGAGATTGGCGGCGGAGGGCAGGCACGTGCCCTCAAACTGCGGCCGATGAGGCAGGCTTTCGGACGGCAGGCTTTCAGCTACGACTCACGCTTGCAAAGGTTGTAAACGACGAGTGGGAGCGTTCAATATCAAGAGTCCGACTTCACGTTGTGGGGGGTGTGGTCTGGCAAAGAGTTGAATACCAACACCAACATCGACATCAACGTCAACAGTATCGACAAGAAAAAAAGAGAGACGCCGTCAACATTACGTGACTACTCGCCTGCATCCCTGCGACGTCACTCGATGACGCCGCCCCATCGCTCCAGCTAACCAGTCGGTTCAGCTTGATGGGAGAGGAAGAGAACAGCACGTCTTGTGCGGCTGCCAGTGGAAAAACAAACATCGAAGCAGAGACGGAATTATCGCAATTGGTGACTCTTACTATTCTAGCACAGCAAGCGCGTGAGTCAGAAACGACAATGGAAGAAGGAGGAGGATAATAAACGACCGTCGAGCGAGTTAGGAGAGCATCAGCGAAGCCGCTCTTACTTGCCAACATCTCACCACTTTCTCACAGCGCTAGATAACCAATAGCCCGACTGCTTCGTCGGTGATCGAAGCCCTACAAAACCGAGCCACAGCGGCAGATCATCCCAGAGGCGATGATCCGCAAAGCCAGACGTACACTCAACAGCGACAACAGTCTCCGCTAACGACGGGCGAGTCGGGCGATGGAACTCGCCGCAGTACATATACATATGTACCCTGCGCGTCACACGCCCCGCTTTTCATTCAAATATGGCCTGTGGCAGCAGCATCATGTCGAAAATCACCTGTTTCGAGGTGCGGCAGCGACATGAACGGGACTGTCGCCGCGGGACGCAGCCACATGTTTCCCAGCCCCGTGCCCCTTTCCAGCTCCAGCGCTTGCTGCATCAGTAGGATGGGCAGGTGAAACACCTATACAAAGAGGTCGAGAAAGGATAGGCGGGCCAGTTGTAAGAAAAAGCAGATGTGAAGTGCAATGAAAACGAAAAAAAATTCAGGCGAAGCAGCCGGTCAGTAGACGCTTTCTAGCAACCGAAACACTCGGGACACGAAAATCGACCGATTTGCTGAAACAGCCTCAGTCCTTTTGGGGGTGGTTGGCCCGTGACCACGCAAGGCGTCCACGTGAGTTGGACCGGTACGGATGTTGGAAGGTACTGAGCACAGACCAGAACTTTTCCGTGTGAAGACAACCAACAACAACAACAATCACATACTCGGCACTGCCACACCTCCCATACCTGTCGCTAACCCGCCAAGACGCGGCCTCCCGTCCCCTCCCCTTCGCCGAGCACCAAAATACAAATTTTCGGTAGTACATACGACTCTATTTACCTTTCCGGGTTCCACGAGGGTCACATCCCCCTCCGCCCCGACCCCGCCTGCGGGGCCCCCCGCTCCCACCCCCGAAGAATTCCCGGAGCCCCCCTTGCCCCCCTCTCCGCCATACGGAGAAGAAGACCCCGGGAAGAACGCGTTACCGCCGACTTGGAAACCCCGGGTGGCGGGGGTTGCGGCCCACGGAGAGGAGCCGCCTCCTCGGTAGGCGCGGCCGGCGCGAGGGTGCATCGGCTTGTGTTTCCGGTCCGGGTGGGTGAACATCATCACGGCGTGGTCGGTGCAGTTCTGGGGCAGGGACGGCAGCACGCGGGGGGAACAGGCGAAAGCGCGGGCGGGCGAGGGGAGCGCACGGGGGGAGGGTCATGAGGTGTCTACCTGGCCTACAGCAGCGATGAGCTTTCGCTTCTGTGGATCGGCGCCACTCGTTTGTGGAGTCAGCCACAATCATGAAGCACCTGTATTGGTTCCAAGGAGCAATCTAGCAATCGGGTGATGTGCCCCCCATGTACCGTCCATCCACCGGTGCATACATCCGGATCGCAACAACTACTTCACGCTCGCCCACCTGAAGCCGGAAGACGGAGCGTAGCGTGACCTGCCGGCCGCCGTTGAGGTGGTGAACGTCCGCCACCAGCGACAGTGCCGCCGCCAGCCCGGGATCCGGGCACACGCGCCTGGCGTCGACCCTCCCCAGGAGCGCGCGCAAGGGGATTGCTCGCGTTCCAAGGTTGTCGGCACACACCTGCACACAGGTGATCGGTTCGTCGTCGTCGTCGTCGGCTTGAAAGGTGGGATGTTTGGTCGTCGCGCCGGCGTGGGATTCAGCCTCGAGGAAACGTTTACGGTGGGTGTACCAGGATCGACATGCTGGACAACGAGCGGAAATCAATTCCCTAAGGGCAAGCTGCCGTTCGCGGAAGCAATTGGAGCTGCAACGCCCTAGCCTTTGCCCCGCCTCGCGAGGTAAACCGTAGTCACTTATGCGTTGATCGGGGGGGCGCGCATAAATTCCCGGGGGGGGGGGGGGGACCACAAAGCAAACCACAGGGGACTGATGCACAGCCACGAAACACCGTTGCAGATATTTACAAGATTTCCAGTCTCGAGGATCAGCGGGCGAGGTGTGCGAACACGAATTCTTGCAATACGTAGTGCCGTGCTGTTCATGGCACACAACCCTGTTCCATGAACCACAGACTTGTTAAGGGTGGCTGGGGAGGGAGGTACACGTACAGCACCGCACCTCGGGCATCCAGCGGTACCCAGAAACCTGGACCGCCACCGTGTGAGAGCCGCCCGCTCGTTGTCCCTGCAAAGCATTGAAAAAAAATCAGTGACGTCATGTTTTCGCAGAAAGAGTCGTTGAGAGGCAGCAAAAAAGCCCCAATTCAACGACAAAGTTGAAAGCAAAGAAAAACAACCTCTCGAAAAATGTTTAGTGCAGAGCCAAGGTAACAGAATTAGAGTTCACACGCCATGTCGGAAGGCGTCAACAAGGTCAAGGATGGTAACCCTGCACTACCAATGGTACAAAGGCTGCAACGTCAACAAAAAGACCTTCCGCACATGATGTGGATCGGGGCACGGGTAATCACTAACAAAACGTGAAATGTTCAAACGCATTGAAATACGCGAAATGTTCTGTGGATGTAACCCGAGCGTAGCATGGCGCACACTGCCGACTTTCCGGCACACGACGCCACTTTACGGCTTACAACTGCAGGTTTAGACAAACGCCTTCGCGTCGCCCACACCCCGCTAATGCTTTCCGGTTCATGCTCTTGAGTTAGGCAAGGCAGCGAAATCCCAACTATCGCAAAGAGGACAGAAAAAAAGCACCCACTCATCCTACCGACTTCGTTGATTGCGTCTATTCTGTGCACCTTTTGGCCTCCTCCCGCCTCCCTTGCGGCAACGGTAGGCAGAGTGGCGCCGCGCCGATCCCCCAGGCCTAACGCCTCCGTCTGCATGTCGAACGGGACCTCTTGGACCCGCCCGTTCCGCACGACCGTCATGGTGGCGGTAAACAGAAGGACCCCTCTCTCGCCGTCCTGTCGGAAACGAGACCAATCCCATCGCACAACGGCAAGGCAAACGTTACGTGAGGCGCTTCCGCTGCTGCACAAGTCAGTCACTTAAGAGCAATATGGTCTCGTTTCTATTTCTTTCCTCCGCGTTGGTCGGAAAGCTACTGTCTACATACCTCGGGTGTTGTTCTGCGGATCACTCCAAATGTACAGAACTCGTGTAAGCCTTCTACCGACACTCTGTACGCACTGCTACTGTACCGGGAAACGGAAAGTGAAGGATTGCTTGGCCTCCTAGCAGCGACAGCAGGGTGGTGCGTTTTGCGCCCTTTGCGCCTCGCACCTGTTTTCAACCAGCATCTGAACTTAACATTACTAAGAAGGACGTGTGCTCAAGTGCAAGACCAGAGCAAATCACGCCAGAGTAATGTCCTGCGTCCCCATGCCCTATAGCGTCCGAGACACGGCCTGGCGTGTGTGCCCAGAAGCTCTCAACAACAACTCCCCTCTCACTCACTCTGAGGTACTGCAGACGGCGAGTCTCCTCTCCCGCCCGGGGCTGGAAGTACCTCATCCTCTGCCCGGTGAGGTTGAGGATCGTGAACGACATGCGAGACTCGAGGGCCAGCGGCGCGTAGAACTCGTGGCACACGGGAAACCGCGGCGTGTTCAGCGGGCCCAACGCTCCCACCTTGCCACCGGCACCGCCGGCACCGCCGGCGCCCAGGCTGGACTGCCGCTCAGGCACCACCGACTCGTCCGCGGGCCAGGCGGTGACAAACACGTCATCGTACTGTAGCACCTCCCTGTGGCGGTAGCGCGAGATAGCGCTGTCCTGGCTGCCGGGCGGTGGCTCCTTGCCCTTGCCGCCGCCCGCCGCGGACGACGGCCTAGGGGCGGCAGAGAACGAGGACTCCTCGGCGTCGTCGCTTCCCGGCGCCGTCTGGGCGACGCGCAAGACCTCGACCCGACCGCGAAAGTTCTCGGCGTCGAGCTCGTTGAAGATCCGGGTCATCTGCTCCTGCATGTCGCTGAGCGTGTCCAGCAGGGCCGCGGTGACGTTCACGTGGAGTGGGCAGCGCGCCTTGACCATGAGGCCCGCACCACGCCGCGTGGAGCTCTCGGCGAGGACGTCGCACCTGCCGCCGGCCGTCGGAAGGCACGCACGTCGCCACGTGGTAAAAGCAAGAGGAACATGAGTGACACACACCCAAAGAGTGTTTGATACGGGTCTTGCTTGTCTGCTACGCAACGCTCAGGAGAACAGTCACGAAGACACCTGGCACCGCCAAGTGACCGACATCTTCTCCGTCTGGCTTAGAGACAGCGCTCACAACTGGGTATCCGGTGTAAATGCACATTCCTTGTTGGGACAAACCAGAACCCGCCCCTAAGCAAGGTTCGCCGCTTGTGTGTCATCGGAGATGCAGCCGCCCACCAACAACCGCCACACGACAACATATTGGTCCCAGAGTCAGCCCTCGATTTAAAACACTATTAGCAGCACGTGTAGTCACCATCTTATCACCTCATCGACTACAACCAAACCTCCCAACATGTTGCTTAACTATTGTCGAGTTGAGAAGCAACCAACACCATGAACGGCGACCCAAAAATCCAACGCCAGGAAAAATATTTACCTGAAAGGATCGAGCAGTGCTTCCCAGCACCGTAGCGTGTTGTTGAAATACTCCGCCCACAGCCGCGTCTGAACCGTCACGTTCATGACCGCCGCGCGCGGGTCCGCCGCTTCTCCCTCCGCCGCCGTGCTCGCGCCGTTGACTCTGGGGTGTGACGCAGACCCCCCCCCTGCCGTAGCACCCCCATCGGCGCCTGACACCACCGCCGCCGCCGCCGTCGTAGACAACCCGCTCGTCTCTGTACGCTTTCGCCCGAGCACAAACTTGACCGACTTCGTCGGCGTACCCGATCCCGCCGGCGCATCCTCACCGACCGCATGCAGCTCATCGCCGTCCAGCTGCACCCTGGAGCCAGAACCCGTCCCCCCCCATCGCCGAGAGGACTTGAGCAGGTTCGTTCGGCTGCCGGTGTGCGCGCCTAAGCGGCCCGAGACTCCTCCTCCTCCTCCTCCTCCTGCTTGACCAGCACCATCTCCCCGCTCGGGATCGCTCCGAGTCTTGGCGGTGGCCACGGCGCGGGTGCCGTGCCAAGTGTGTGAGAGCGGGAGGTCTTGGCCTACAGCGGGCGTCGTCGCAGTCGTCTCAAAACCGGCCGTCGGCACCGCCGTCGGCACCGTCGCCGATCCCGCCGGCATTGCTTGTGCTGGAGCGGAAGAGGAGGGGCGAACGCCCGGCGGGGCGGCTTCGCCGCCGCCGTGTCGGCCGGGTGATGACGATGACGGCCTCCGTCCCCGAAGAAGGCGGCGCTCTAGCTCGTTGTCCTCGCTCTCGAGACGGTTCTCGATGACGCAAGACACGCTGGCGAGGCAGAGCTTCATCACGGGGAGGTGCAGCCCGAGCACCTGAAAGGAGACCGACCGCAGCGGCATTTACGGACGTAGTTGTCGCGCGGGCCCACACCGAAAGGGCGTGTTGTTATCTTTGCAACCAGGATCTAATCTGCATTCACAATTGGTGATGAGCCACAACCAAAAACAAATACACCCGCACCGTCGTCTCTCACCCATAGTCGTAACTAACCATTCAATTTTGCTGCCTGTCTCGTCGCAACAGTTCGGTGGACGATTACACACCGACTGACCGTCCCTGGAAAGGAGACAACCAAAAACATGAAACCGAGTCGCCCGGCGCCCCCCCGCACCTGGTCAACGATGAGCACCCGCAGCCCCGTCAGCATCACCGCGAGAGCCATTGTGAACGGCGGCAGCGGCTCCTCCTCGTCCTCGTTGTTCTGCACGGGAGGATCGTCTCTGCCCTCGGCCTCATTCGCCGCCGCCGCCGCCGCCACGCCGCGAGTCTCCACCTCGACCTCATCCCCCCGTGCCCTCGAGACCCGCGCCGGTCTCGTTGACGGCAAGGCCGCCGCCGTTGCGGCACGGCCCCGGACACTGCCGTCTTCGACGGCCTCGCCCTCCATGGTGGAAGCCAAGGGAAGCGAAGAGTTGCGCGGGCGGCGGGACATGACGTTGCTCATCCGTCGCAAGCGGCCCTCGGTGTTCGGCTGCTGCTGCTGCTGCTGCTGCCCTCGCTCGACGAAGGACAGGGAGGCGTCCGTGCTTCGGCGTTTCCGGCCGAAGAACCGCCTCCCCGAGATGCCGACCTCTCCTGTGCTCTCGTCGTCTGAGTCCGAGTGATCCTGTGGTGTGTACACAGGCATTCATGCCAAGAAACGGTTTTAGTGCGTGGTACAATAAGTAATCGAATGGGCCGGGAAAGGGCAAGTGGTAGAAAAATCGCGACAGAGACGGGAGGTTCGGAGAGATGGCTAATTGGGACGGGCGCGGTGAAGATAACGCATCGGTATGGTGGGGTGTGCGTGCCCTGCTGCTGTATTGACGGATTGGTGTAACTCGCTGACCGCACAGACCACAGAAAAACGCTGTTCTACCAATCGGGGCGGGTGGCGTAAGGCTCGTGATGGACCCACTGAATATCCACACGGGCCCCAATAAATCAATCAGCCATACATTTATTGACGGGTACATGACTGTGTATCTTCAAAGGCGGGTTCGGAAGTCACCACGATCTGATGTAGCAGACAAGAAGGCAAGATTCCGTCGCAAAGAAAAACGCAGAGTCCATCAAAACAACCATTAATTCACCCCGACGCCATGGAACGAACACTTACGCTGCCGCCCATCCCAAACCCGGCCAGAGAAGGCAACGCCGACATCTCGCTCTTCAGCAGGCCCGACACGCGCAATTGCTGCTGCGCCTGCCCTCCCCCACCCGCTGCCGCGCCGCCACCACCACCACCGACCCCGACACCGCCGGCGGCAGCGGCGCCCAAGAATGCGGCGGCACTCTCTTCCCCTTCGGCGAGCTCGGTCATGGGATTGTCTCCCAGGATAGGGGAGTGTAGCAAGCCCCGCCCTGTTGCTCTCCCTGACGAGGACAAGATGGTCTTGAAGACTGGCCGGACGTAGGTTTTCAGAGATCTTCGCGGTCCAATCTGCGAAAAAAGCATTCCGAAGTTTGGGGAGAGAAGGGGCAATAGATCGCGACAAATAAGGCAAGGGAACGCCGTCGCCGATATCAAGCCCAGATAGGTCGCAGGGAGGGCGGTGTAAAAGGGGGCCTCGATGAAAGCTCCAACTCAAAACCCACCAGATTCAGGGCTACGATTCTTCAAGACTCAACCACACCACGCTGGGTGAACAAGGACAGCAGCGTCATAAAAAACGCTGTTCAAACGCGGATAAGACAACTACTTGGTACAAATGTAAAGCCATAGCTTCCCCCATAGACCCACCCACCTCTCCAAGAACCGAAGAGCCGCCTCTCGAAGGCGATCGCCCAGTGGGAGACACCGCAGGCATCCATAGCGCGTCCGCAGGAGGGCTGATCGAACGAAACTCCGCCGAGCTGCCGCTCCGGCCTTGATCGCCATCCTCTTCTCGCCCAGGCGGCACCCCGGTCGCCGCCGCCGCTCCTGCTCCTGCGGAGCCTCCCGCGACCAACGCACCAACGTCGCCGCTGCCGCCGCCATCGGCAAACGCGGGTCTCACAACCGTCGAAGTCGACGAAGGCGAGGCAAGACCAGTGGTGTACTCTGCCACCGCGTGCGCGTGCTCGCCAGCCTTTCTCCCCCCTCCTCCCGCTCCGACGGCACTCGTTGTTCCCGCCTCGAGAGGCACCCCGCCGCCGCCGCCCTCCGCCCCCGAGGACGGATCTGCGGGGGGCCCTACCTCCTCTGCCTCTGGAGGGGGCTCCGCCGTAGGCAAGGGGGGGGGGTTCGGGCCCAGGAAGACCATGGCGGACGCGGCGGCGAAGACGAGGTCCTCCACCGAAGCGACGATGTCGCCCGCCCGCGGGCCGAGGTCCATGGACGGGTGCTCTTGGGCGGGGACGGCACAAGGCTGGCGAAGGCGAAGGTGCAGCTGAGAGAGAAGAGTGAGCATTTCGCGACCAAGGGCGAGAGACGTAGCGAACGCAACAAGTGTTGGTTGGGGGGTATGTAGGCGTGACGGATGACTGCGGTGAGAGCAGGCGGCGAGCGTCAGTTCTACTAGACGAACGCACAGCGAGAGACAGGCATGTCGCGGTGCCCCCGATGACTTCTTGCCAGAAGACAAAGACACTGGGGGGCACTCCTTTTTCAGAGATGACGCGGGGTTCGGGACCAAAACAAGATAAAAGCGGGACCGCCATTTCTTGGCCCCAGTCAATTCCGCAACCCATGTACAGCACCGGTCATGAACGAGAACACGGGAGCGCATTTTCCGTGCGCTACACCCCTCGACCGAAACAGGACGATCGTGCTGCGGAGAAAGACCATCAGCATTGTGAAATCCCATCCAAGGCAGAATCGCGATCAGGCTCTCTTTGCAGTGCAGGCAGCATTCCGCAAGTAAGGCAAAACAACACAACTGGGTGAAAACAGGGCGTACATACCGCGCGCTCTTGCCTGGGCACATGGCAACACAATAACGGGCAGGTTTGTGTATGCCAAGCGTAGACAAAGGCGCTGACGTCAAACAAACCGAGCTCTACGAAAACAATTCGAATTGCCATGACGTATACTGTTGGGGTACCCGGGAACGGATAACGCAATAACCAACAAATACCAACATATTTGTTGTTCACCTTTGCGGGGTCCAGAGACGGTGCCTCGAATCCCCGGCAGAGCCCACCCGTCTTGCACTCCTCCCCCTCCTCCGGCCCACCCCCTCCTCCTGCCCCCCCTTGCCCCCCATCGGAGTCGGAGGTTTGCAGCGGCAACGAGGCGTGCAGGTCGAGGTGGTTGACCGCCAGCCAATGGTTGTGCGCCATCGACAGGGACAGCCCGTCGACGAGGGTACGGGTGCCGCTGCCGGAGCCGGCGGTGCCGCGAGCCCCGCGCGACTCCGAGGCGCCGCGGTAGGCGTTGACGATAATGGCGGCCAGGCCCTGGACCGCGGCCTCCATGTGAATCACCTGATGCAACGACAATGCGTGGGTGTTCGATGCATGGAAGTAATGGCCTTGTCTCTCAGACGGAGGGAAAAAGGGTGATTCTCAACTGAGAAGTAACCAGAAACGGGTATACCCGGGTGGATTATCACCATTTCAGGCTACACTTGGAAATCAACACGACAACAATCTCCGACAGCATCCGCCGTAGATCGCGGCGAAACCAGTAAACCGCTGTGTCCTGTGCCTCGGAAGCATGATGCACGAGGCAGGTCGTGCCCGTTTTTCTCTCTCTCTCTGCCTCTCTCTCTCTGTGCTTTTACTGATCAGCACTACACCGAACGAACTCGCGCGTCAATCCGACCCTCTGTCGAGAGGGGCCGGTATCCTATGGAGGCGGTGCCCATCAACGAGCGAGCGTTGGTGGCGGTTTGGTTGTGGGTATGTATGTGCGGTACACGGTATGTGCGGTGCACGTTTTTTTCTGCGGGTTGTATGATAGAGCCTCGGGCGCCGGGAATATATGATCATTTCTGGGTACAAAATCGACCTCTTCCGGGTACACCAGTAACCAATATCGGTCACACCAGAGGGTACCTAATGCCAGCGGTAGTTGTACCCGATGGAGGTTTCCTCCGAAATGGGTACGATGGTTTTTCGGCCAATCAGGTGACAGCCTGGGGGTGCAAGCGTGTTGATTTCTAAGTGTACCCTAAAGTGGTGATAAAGTACCCGGGTATACCCGTTTCTGGTTGTTGGTCTTCTCAACTTGATTTTCAGCTTTTCTTCCAAGGACTCGCTAACTTCCAGGAGAGGGGTGCTATACCGTGATATTCGAGATCAGAAGACGCCTCTTTCTCTCTCTTTGTCGACACTCTCTCTCTCTCTCTCTCTCTCTCATTCTCTTCCTCTGTCTTTCTCTCTTTCCCTCTCCTGCGGTGGCTCAAGATTTGTCCTCACCTGAGCGATGATGAGGGACTGCCAGCGGTAGTAGATGCCCTGCTCCCCTTCCAGCAGAAACGCGCTGGTGTTGCGCGACAGCGGGAACTCGAGGACCGCGATGTGGGGCCTCGTGACCCACACGCGCACGTCGATGCTTCGGGGGGGCGGTGGCAGCAAAGGCTCTCCCTCCGATCTCTGTAAAAGTTCGTGCGTGAAGAGTGTGCGGTTTACACACGAACAACGTGCCACAGAGCCAGCAACAAAAACGTGGGCTCATCCGGCCACCGCAGAAAACCTCGGCAGTCTTGGATCCAAATCAGGGGATGAATAATGGGTGTCCCCGCGGCGAACAAACAAGCTGTTGCCACATCTGGAAAAGATACAGAAGCTCTCGTCTTTTACCATCGCCTCGGCAACAGCACACTGCTGTAACAGCAACATGGCAATGAAGAACATTCCCTCGAGATCGCCTTGGTGCCTGCAGCAGACGATATCAACGAGGGTTTTGGTGCATGATAAAAAGAGTCTCCGGCCGATCCATCGCACACGAGAGCGGTCATTGACCTCCGGCAGAAATCGTCGAACGACGGACAGAGCTGCAACAACATCACCACCCGAAAACTGTCACCGCCCATGACGGAGAAAACCAACCAAACCCCGCGTGTTCAAGAGGGGCACCGGCACCGACCCTGTCTCTCTTTCTCATGTGCCAAGGAGCCACCAGTTTTGTTGTGGCGACGTGCTTCACTTACAGCTGGCGCCGTTGCGTCGTCGGACGGTTCCTGGGTGGCCGCCGGCTCGGCGGGATCAAGCGTGCCCATGTACCCGTAAAACGGACAGCCGTACGCCTGGACGAAAGAGGGGAAAAAAGGACAAGGACAAGAGAAGAGAGACAAAAACAGAGCGAGATGCACCTTTAACCGTTGGCGGACAAGGTGATGGCTGCTGTTGTTGGGTTCGATCAGCGGAAACAACAAAGTAAATCAATTTGAGCGTGGTCCGATGACATAGATGAAGCATCGAACAGGGTGTGACCTTCGCACGAACGCAATCAAGAGAGAGCAGCCGAAACGATGTCACCCGCACCACTGCTGTCTTTTTTTGTTAATTCCCCGCGTGCACTCTCGTCGTAAACTGGCATAGGCAAATAATGTACAGTGTCCAGAAAGACACAAACACTTCTTCACGTGCAACCCAACAAAAAAAACGCCAACTCTTGAGCAGAAAATAACTGCTGTGTATCCGCGTTGATCTTTTCGCCTGTCTCCTCACGTCGGACCGGTGGTAGTTGGAGAAAAAGTCCACGATGAGCCACACCACCGACATCTCCTTGGCATTGATGTCCACGCCGTCGACACCGACATTCACGCAAAGCCACATGTGGGGGGGGGTCATGATGAGCGACACCTGGGTACAGGGGACGGTAGGACAGTGGCAAATGGGGGGGTGGGGGGGGGGGGGGGGGGCGTACTCATGTTTTGCATGCCTCAATTGTTAGACCATTGAAAGGGGAGAGGGGGAAGTGCCGCAAACGCAAACACCAGTTCATCGTTTCCGGTGGGCACATGAGAGAACAGCAAACTGTCAAAAAGGGGTCCGATGTAAGATGAAACCAAAGCACCAGCCCACACAGCTGGCCGGTGCTGCCAGCTGCCAGTTGTGGTGACGCCTCCCAAGCTCAACAGCGTACACAGCTGATGTACTTCCTGACTCGACTAGAGCCCAGCCAGAACCTCAACAAACCAAAAAGAACAAAATTTCCACATCCGTATAAATCTGTGTACAGCAGTCTGATGCATACGTATACACACCTGCACCGGGAGCGGAAGAGGACTCCCAACCTCCCCCCCCGGACGGAAATACCCGAACGCGTCGTCCACGAAGGCCTGGACGCACGTGGCCGGCGAGGCGTCGGCGAACTGCGGGGAAAGGGGATCGCGTCGACCCGTCCCCTTACCCTCGTGCCCGCCCCTGCCCGCGCCTTGCCCTCTCTCGTCTTCTCGTCGGGCGCTGTCCGCAGACTCCGGCAGGGGGCTGCGAAACCAACATCAGTAAATTTTGGATCATGTTGGTGGAGAGGAAAGCCGGCGGGGTGTGTTTATTTTGCTCAGGATGCAAGCGCGCTCGGGGGGGAAGGGGGGGTTGATGCTAAGGGGGAAGAGAGGAAACGGAGACAATCGAACGAAAATACCTACAAGCGAGAGGCGACGATGATGCGTCAAAAGGAGAACCAGCGCGTGGGTTAACGCTACAAACATAAGTCGGAGCTCAATTTCACGGCGCCCGCAGTCGGAGAGGTAGATGGGGGGTTAGGCAGCAAAGTCTCGACAGACAGCTGTCCCTAAACAGACTTGTACACAGTAGTCGAAAACATGCCTCATCGGACCCGCGTGCAGAACGACGGGGTATCTCGTCCTGATTGGCTGCCTCGTGTCCATCACCGCCACGTCACCCGCCGCCACCGCGAGCCTCAGGATACCCAGCCCCGCTGTGATGGACATGGCCGGGTTGACCAGCCGCATGCAAGCGAAAGGCACGCGCTCCCGTGGGTCCTGTGGGCAGGCGGGACATTAGTACCGCCACGGGGAAGTGGGGGGGGGGGGGGGGGGGGGGGCCTTCTTCGATCGGCCTTTCCCCGTGCGTTGGCCTCCGGCTCCGACCTGGAGCGGACGAGGGGAATCCGACTGTTTAATTAAAACAAAGCATTGCGACGGCCGGAGACGGTGTTGACGCAATGTGATTTCTGCCCAGTGCTCTGAATGTCAAAGTGAAGGAATTCAACCAAGCGCGGGTAAACGGCGGGAGTAACTATGACTCTCTTAAGGTAGCCAAATGCCTC